AAACAAGACCAAGTTGCGTCAACGAGGTCAACCCACTTCTATAAACACACATTGTTTCACTTCCTTTTTTCTTACGAATGTATAAAAGGCACGTAATGTAGAGTCAGTTGATCTTCCTGATTTTGTGTTCGCCTGCAGCTTTTACAGGAATGGCATCCACTTCGGACAAGTCTGTTCTATGCCTGACGAAGGCTCAGCCGCCTTCGGTAGAACAAAAGGAGGATGGCTCGTAGACTAAGTCAACATGAGAATGAAGGATTGCAGAATAAGTAGAATTGAGCGGGGTCTTGTGATGAGATTTGGGCACGAATCTCTTCACTGGACTCGTTCACACGAAGGTTAATGGATGCAGAGATCAGAAGTATCTAAACCTTTCACAAAGCGTGTACTCCATGTTGTTCAGGTTATGAACGGAAGAATAAGGAGTCAATACAAGCCAAATCTCGGCACAACAAATATCGTAATTACAAAATTTGCTGAATAAAGAACAATGTTGTTATCGTCGAGTTCACTCCCATTTCGTGTAAAAGTATGTGATTAAGAGATTCGAAGTGTGATCACGTCAGAAGACGAGGGTGGATTCCTCTTGGCCAGAGTTTAATTGGCTTTTCTGTGACATTCTGGCTGACGCTGTCACCGAGGCAATCGACTTAGAATCCAGTGAAAATGTGCCTAGTTTTCTTGCATTGTATAAAGGACAGCCTCATCACAAGTTATCAACTGTTTCTGGGTTAATGTGTCAAGATGAAGCTCCATGTCTTGTGCCCAAGTGTTGTATAGTTTTAGAGGGTGTAAAGTGATTTGATTACTTCATGTGATACGTCAATCTGAAAGCATGTTGATGCGTCTGCTTGTGTCTGCCTATATTTTTTTGTTTGTACGTATATACACGAAAGCAGCAGTGATTGAGCAAGGTAATTAGCACGAAAAGTAGTAACTCCCCTCAGTTGTCAATGTTTAATGGCCACCCCCACCCTTATCTCGATATTGTATCCATCACTTCACTTTGGTAAAATTGCTGAGCTTTCTGTCGCTTTGTTACAGAGAAAGAATGAACTAAGTTTTATGGAAATTGGAATTGTGACGATGGCTCGAAATAAAAATGGCCTCGGAATCCTACGTTCTTTGCACGGTATTTTGGAAAATAAAATTATTTTTGCGAAGAAAAGTTGTGTTCCAAGCAATCTCTCGTTTCATAATTGTTGAGTTTATTTTCATTTCGAGTGAAAATGTTTTGTGAGAAGACTCCAAGGTAGATCCCACAAGAAGACGACAGCGGATTCCTCTTGACCAGTTGTCAATTGTTAACGCCGTTTCCGAGGCCATCTCCTTTGATTCCGGTGAAAACGTGCTAAGCTCTCGTCCATCGTATGATGTACATCATTAGAGCAGGGGTCAAGAAAAATCATCGGCTCACCCTTAGATGCTGTATATACACTCAATATCTGAGCTCTTAGATGAGGTATAACGTGATTTGGTTGGTTCAAGTCAACGTCAATCTTTGAACATGCTAGTTTGTCCGTCTGTGTATGGGTTTGTATATGTCCGATCTTGCGCAATCGGAGTAATGATTACAACATTAACAGAAAGGAGATGATGGTGGCCATCAAACCTTGGTGGCTGAGAAAAGTCGTTACTTTGATTCATCACTGCTGATGTCGTAGATATGAAAACGCATGCAGGCACATAGACATACACACATACATATACACACTCAGATGCCTCGAAATAGGAGTAAGCTTAAGAATTATCTTTTCCTTTTCTACAGTATAACGAAATTTGGCCTGTATAATGTAGGCAAGCTACCGACATCGTGAAATGAAAGCAGGAATTTAATAAATAAAAGCATGAAAATCTCACAAATGCAGAACACATCTGCAGTGCATGCTGGTGCTAAATCCACATTTTTTCTGACACGAGCCTCACTTAACCCGCAAGCATGTGGAAAGAGCATGTATTAGCCATTAAATCATAAGATGCTTCAGTAAGAAGTGAGTTTTCGTAAATACCGGCTTTTCTGGTGGTCCTCTTTCACATGACAGACTGAGGTTCCGATGACACCAATTTTCGAGTTTCATTCAATTCCCGAATGTACCCCACCAAAATACAACTCTATATGAGATGTATTCACCCAATTTTGTTTAAGATGATGATGGACTAGTAGTAGAATTGTCCCACAATGGTACGAGTAGAGCTGACGTTTTCATTGAATTTCACAATGCCTTGCTTTGCCAAAAGTTGTTCTTATCCAGAAAGAAGTGGAGTGCAATTTCGACTTCTCCCAGACCTTATCAACACCTCCAGCGGGAGTCGAACCATGACAGTGCCGAATGGGAGCTTGACACGAAAAAAACGCAATTCTCTTTTCACTCTTGCACTTCATACATGCTGCCAAGGTCGTGTCGACATGTGAGGAAGTGACAGCTCTACACGTACTCACCCTTTCATAGACATTAGCACGAGCTCGAACGGCGACATTGCAGAATGGGAGCTTTTCGTGCTGGTTCAATCTGGTACAGGCGATGACAACGACGTCCACAAAACCCCTTGCTCCTCCTTTCCGTCCCGGTCCGTCTGGGAGACTAATCAGAAGAGTGTCGTCGGCGGGAGTGGGCGAAGACGCCCTGTTTCCCACTTTTCATACTGCCCCACTCCGGTCGTGGGTGCAGTCAACTCCCCACGAGGCGGGCGTCCAAAAATGTCGGGAGTGGTCGGTCTGGCCGAATCGCCTCAAGAGTCCGGTACTATTTAGCCCCGGTCAAAGTCGTCCGAAAATAATTTCTGCCTAATGCACATCT